CACAGATACACCAGCAAGCCCCTGTGGCTTATCAGATTAAATTCCCGCTCCTGTCTTCTCTCGGTCTTACCCTAAACTATGTCCCCAAAAGACCTCAGCTCTGGACTGACTCGTCGGGAAAGGCAAGCCGGTCGCGTGGCGTTTCAAGCTGCCATCCATTATGTCTGACAGAGAGATAAACTTTTGTCTCTTTTTCAAATTACACGTCGCCTATTTTACCTCCACTGCATTCTAATTGCCAACATGGTAGTCATGACAGTAGCCTGTTAAGGTTTAATCTCATTATGATTAAGACTACCACGTTTCAACATTTTTTGCATAAGTTAAACAAATTAAGAAGAATTCTCAAGTTGGGTGCGGAGATACAGTAGTTAATCTGGAGGTTTTTAAATAGGATCTTCTTCTTTAACGGTCTCCGCCCAAGAGGGAAGCAGTTAGAATAATAAGGGACATGAAGGCATTAATTCTTAAGCAGGGCTAAAGGAAAGAGAAGCTGGAGAGTTAAAATGTCATTCCCGAACTGGTTTGCGGATTTTTCTGACTGGCGTCTTGTTATGTTACATTTCCTCCCTGTGCGTCTAAGTAGGTATATTGTTATGTTGATAACTACGGTGCAGTTGTTTTTTTTTGTATTGGTCAGTAAGACATGAGCAGTAAAATACCTACAAAATGAAATCAGCTAAAAATTTAAAGCGAGTTGTCGGTGGGCATCGTTTTTCCTTTCTTTCTCTCTGCTTTTTTTCTAGCCTGTCTTTCTTACTTTGTCCCTGCTTTAAAAGGTTAACATCGTGTCGAGGTGCTGCCTTTATTCAAACAAACAAACAAGAAACTTAAAACAGCTGCATAAACGATTTACTCCTGTTACCTGTTTAGTTTAAGTGGACGCTCAGTCCCCCCCCCCCAAAAAAAAAAAAAAAAAAACCCCAAAAAAAGCTGCAGCACAACTTGTGTGTTAGGGATTTGTGCATCCACACTTATAGCGTGCCGAACGGACTATCAATCTTGCGCCTAGTACACATGGCAACTGAGAGAGTTGCTTACCTTTGCGGTTTGTTATACATGTGTACTTTCTTTTTCTTTTCTTTTTTTTCTCTCTCTCTCTCTAACCTCTTTGCTTTTTGCAAATATCGCGGCGGTTGTTGGGAGGGCAGACTGGGCGAGTTACTGAATGAAGAGGCTAATGGAGGGTGAAGGATAGTGAGGTCGTTTGTAGTGACGGGAAGGAA